TTCAAGGAGTTTTCATGTGGAAGAAACTTGACGATGAAGAAAGATTAGAAGTCCTCCAGATGAACCCCCAATTTCCCATGTGTGACTTCAAATGATCATAACTTGGTCAATTTTTATCACCTTGAGCCCACTCGTTTTCCACCATGATCTTGAGGATGTGAACATTATCCCTTCTTTTATGTGCAAAGTGAGAAAATGGATGGAAGATGCCTTAAGGATACAAAAGATTATAGGTTATTTCATGATTTGTTTCCAACTTCAACAATTCATAACTCTCTCAATTCTTGGAGATTTTGAATGGTTCAAGTTTAAAAATGTCATTCAAGAGGTCTATTTCATGCCATATTTTTTGGTCAAGAACAAATTCCAAGTAGAAGGCCATGTTTGGATGCAAAATATTATAGGTCAATTTTGAAGAAAAACTTGAAATATTTCTAAGTATGGAAAGTCAACCTCTTTTCCCCAACTTTGAATCATTGCAACTTTCAGCTCAACAATCCATTTGATTCCATTCTTTTCCCATTTAAAAGCTTTTAATCTCATATTTCTAAATCATCAAGAATCATGCCCTAAGACCCATTGAGCTGAGAATTCCACTGATTTGAACTTGGTAACTTGAAACTGAAGTTTCTTCAAATGTCAGAATTTGAAATCCTTTATTTAGCTTCTAAACACTTTGTTTCTGCGTGTTTTTGCTTCTAAACATGTTTAGTGAACTTCCAAAAGTGATTAGCTTAGCAAATTGCGCGTTTTGGATGAGTTTTGATCAAAGTAGAAGTCACACTTTTCTTGTTTGCAACTTCACATGATTTCCCTCCAAACTTTATCATTTCACACGCTTGAACATTCCATCTGATTCCCTATAAATAGAGGGTCATCCCTCATTCATTTCTTCAAGCTTGAACAGCCAGAATCACCCTGTCAAACTTGCTCCATAACTCGTTTTTCTGTAACTTCGAAATTAGTGTTCAAGCCTTTTTCAATCCAATTTTTCTATTAATTCACCCTTCTTGATCTTCCCTGAAGCTAACAATACAATTACCTTCAATAATTGTGACCTATATTGATCCCTAGAAGTCCAGTTTCAGAGCTCTGGAACTCAACTTAAATAGGTAGATTTCTCCATCAATTCTTCAAAACTTTGATATCATTGTGAAGCTCCCACTGCCCTGGTTCTAGTCGCAACACTTGTTTTTATCTGGAAACACCTTTTGACCATGAAATTTCAAATCCCTTTTCAAAACTTTCCTTCCAAATTGCTTGAGCTACAATTTATATAAATTTGTCACGAAGGTGTGATTGTCTTCGTCTTGAAGAGACGAAGCGAATGACATAGGTCTCATGCTCTAATTTTACAGATTGAGCAACCTGGTTTTGGAACTGGCTGGAGGTTGAAGATGACCAACGTGTCATCTTCCAACCAATGAAACAGGGCCATTTGTATTTTTTGAATTTCTGATTTATATTTGTATCTATGCTTTATTCAGTAATGACCATTATATGTACAACGCGCCAAATCTCTTAGATCTGATTACTAACATGTTTTGACTCTCGTCCAATGGTCCACATATTTTTTACTTTATTTTTTATTTCTGATTTTTATAATTAATTGTTTTAAACTTCAAAAAATCATAGAAAATTCATTTTAAGTCCAAAAAGTCTGAAATATTTTTGATTTTTCTCTTTCTGATTTTTTTTTTCTTCACAATTTTATTTTGTGTTTTTATTTTTTTAAAATAAATTTTCACTTTATTAGAATTGTTTTAAATGTTTAAAAAAACTATTATGCATTTTTTAATTTTGAAAAAAAATATTGAATGATCCAATGATATGGTGACAAATATTGGTGACCTCATTTATTTTTTATTTCTGACTTTGGTATTTTTTTTATCATTTTTGGTTTATTTTACTCATTTCTTTTAATTTTAAAAATAGTTTCTGACTTTAAAAAATTACCAAAAATTTTATAAAAAATATTTGAGTTCATTTGTGATTTTTCTATGGTCTTACTTAATATTTCTTGATTAATTTGAACATAGTTGATGTTTTCTTTCTTATTTCTATTTTAAAACATTTTTAAAACCTTTTTAATATATATATATATATATATATATATATATATATATATATATATATATATATATATATATATATATATATATATATATATATATATATATATATATATATATATATATATATATATATATATATATATATATATATATATATATATATATATATATATATATATATATATATATATATATATATATATATATATATATATTAAATGCAATATTATTTTGTGATTATTTTCTGGATGATATTGGGTTGAATTTTTGATCATGAACTTTATTAACATCATTGGATCCATGGTGTTGAGTCTAACTCCATAAAAATGGATGAATGATTTTAATAATAGTTTGATTAAATTTTAATTCAAATGTGGTTTGTATATTCTTTCCCACCCCTCTTCATCTCATCCCTTTATTATTGCACAAAGTATTATTGGAGCATAATCTCTATATCATGTCTAAAAAAAATGGTGCATAGATTGCTTTTGTCCGGCCTCAAAATAGGTGCGACTTCTATATAAGTCCACTTACGATTGCTTAACATAGCGCTAAATTTTGTCCCAATTCGAATAAATGATCATCCGTGGCCCAAACTTATGTTTGCAAGCCCAAATATGTTAATTTGATCTCTTTGATCCAATAACCTTAAGATTCATTGTGTGGAGGCTTTGGTTCTACCAATCCTCTAGTGGATCTACAACACTTTTAGTCAACGCGAATCACTTAAACATTGTTGATCATTAAATGGTACTTTTGAGGATTCAAAATGGATGATTTACTTGACAAAAAGCAAATGCAACTTGTTGTGTGGAGGCTTTGGTTCTACCAATCCTCTAATGAGTTGCAAATGCAAGTTTCAAGATGGTCATCCAACTAACCACTAATTATTAATTGTTTTAATTTATGCTATTATTTTTATGATTTATGTACCATTTACTTTAAGCATTACATTTCATGCCATTTTTATTTTGCTCACTTGAGCATTTACTTTCTTGTCCTTTTTATTTTGCTCACTTGAGCTTTTCTTTTCTATTTCAAGACACCTAATAATCAACATAAATCCAAAAAAACCTTTAATGATACTTGGATTATTTGGTTACTACCCTTGGCATTATGGAGTATTGGATTTCTTGGACTTAGGATTAGAAACCATGGCCTTTGTTGGAGACCTTGTGATCTTAATTGATATTTTGTCTGGAGTTCTTGAGGTTTACTTTAAGACATTGGGTTGTTTGTTTGTTTTGTGTGCAAGTTATTGTGATTACATTCTTTGTTTGTAATATGGAATTCACCCGTATACAGCTGTTACTCTGCCCAATTTTTGTGAAGACTTAATACACTTAAAGTTTGGTTCTCTCAAGAGGTCTAGTATCTTTTCTTGTTTGGTTTCAATCCAAGGAATTGGAATTCTATCTTGACTCATAATGTCAAGTATTGGCTTCTTAGTGGTTAGATGGTTCTTAACCCTAGATTTTACCTTATGCTTTAGGATAATCTCTTCCTCTCCTCCCATCTTCTTTAATTTTAAAAATCTCCTTCTTCCTTTTGAAAACTCTTCTTGTTCTGAAGCTTGAACTATTTTCATAATAAACTTGGACTTAGGCCCATGCATTTTCAAAAATCATTTTCATAAATAAACTTCAATCAATTTAATAATACCTTGACATTTTTTGTGAGAAGACTAAAAGTCAACCAATCTACTTTCAAACCATTTTGCCATTTTGTCTTTTTATTTTAAAACATTTCTCAAAAGATTAGACTCTTATCAACCCTTGTAGTGATGCAAACAACTATACTTCTACAATATGTAGTGAAGAGAGATATTTTCCACTTGGGTGTTGAGTGAGGCATTGTTGATTTTAAAATCCAAGCCATATCCTCCACTCTGAGATGATGCAAATTCTCTTTTCTAATGATTGTGGATAGTAAGTATGTTTTCCACACGGACAATGACGATGATGTCTTATCTCATAAAATTAACCAACACACTTCTGTTTTAAATTTTTTAAAATAGGAATTATGTGTACCAAGATCCCCTATTGCACTAAAGGTGGTACGTAGGCACTAAAGGTTCGCAACCACGGTGGGTGCAAAAATCATAAAACAAATACTTCTTTTCTCACCTCCACCATCTGTTTTTTATACAACATTTTATAGCCAAAATATACATATTTTTCAAAGAGGTTCCTGTGGAGTACCGTAGATGTTTAGGGTGCTAATACCTTCCCTTTGCATAACCAACCCCCTTACCTTGAATCTTCCCCCCCTCTTTTTTGGGTTATTCGCTCTTTTCCCATTCCTTTGGAAACAATAAAGCGTCGTGACGATTTTTATTTTGATCTATATAAGTCTAGCCAATCTAATTGCTTAGTCTTAAACATTTCTACCTCTACACTCATCAAATACTTGTTTACTTCAATTACAAGTTAATTTGAATTTGGAGAATTAAAGTTAGCGATTTGTTAGGCTACAAGGTGAAGTTTCATCTATCTACTACTTCCTAATTAGGGTTTTGTGTATGATTTTGTCAAGATTCAAAAATGGTATACATGGGTATTTGCTGATTCAATTTGATTATGAGTCCATGGAATCAAGTATTCCAAATAATTTCATTCAAGTTCCTATTCAACATGATTCATTATCATGAAAAAATTCCAAACAATTCTCATGGCCTAATTCAAAGATTGATCAAGAGAGTCAATTATTGTCATTCATCCAAATTAATTGTTTCATTCAAAACACCATTCAAGAGAAGGTTCATGTAGAATTTTAACTTGTACAAAATATTCAAATGGCATTCAAAAATATCATGATGTTTCCAATTTCCAAGACTTCACAAAGGTTTTACATGAAATTCTTATTCAAAAAAAAAACTCAAGAGTTCCCAAGTTCTACATTAGTACAAGCTATTTTTTATTCAAGTTACAAAAATTCTACAAGATTAAAACTATAAGGTATATTTGTAATCCTCGAGATAACTTGGCTAATTCTATAAAACCAAGTATTTTGAATCCATATTAATGCCAAACCCTTGTTGACCACAAACTCATAAAACCTCCCACGCTGTAATGTTAACCATAACCTGTCCACCATGTTGATGTCCACAAACAGCCCAATACTGTCCAAACAACTGCTGCAAAAAACAGCCATGTTGCTATCCTTATTCACTGTTGTACAAACCTGCATACCAGTCCAAAAATCCAGCCCTGCATTAGCTATTAATTTGCCCTGCAAGACAGTCCAAAAAAAACTACAATGCTGCCATGCAAAACCTGCCATATCAGTCCATTATTTGCACAAACTTAGTAAAATAGAAACTGCATTCAAAAAGCAATAAAATTTGGCATCAAATTAAATCAAATGTTATTCCACCCCCCCCCCCCCCCAATCCCACATTTCTCACCTATAAATACAACAGGGAAGAAATAGTAAAACAAAGGGAGAGCAAAAAAACTCAAGACCTTAGCATAAATACTCACCACTTCAATATCCTCCATAACCTCTCCCTAAAACTCTAGAATAAAATTGTTTCAAAGTCTTCCTTCAAGCAACTCACAAGCTTGTTTCATTCGCTCCGTCAATTCACAAACATGCAACATACATAATTCAACAGAAGCAACTCAACGATTAAAGAAAAGAAGAAGGAAGCATTAATCATTACCTCTAGTCTTCGAGTTTCTTGTCCCTTAGAGAAGCTGTAATCATTGTTGCTATATTTACACCTTCTGTCAAACCTATCCTCCTCACAGTACCTGCAGTTTCAAACAAATCATTCAGCTTGCAAGTCCCACCAATAATATTTCTTTTTATTTTCCTGGATTCCCACCATCCCATAACCTCACCTCTCAAACTTCACCAAACACCCTGCTTAAACCAAAACCGAAAACCACTCAACCCTATACCAACTCACCACTAAATCGTAGAACCTCTCACATCCTTAAACTACCAACATAGAAAATCACACTGAAACACTCACAACAACGCTCAACATCATCATAAAAAAACCTCACACCTCAGACAAAATGCTCACTCACAGAACGAACACAACAAATCACATCAGCGGCAGACGAGCAGAACAATATCACAGGGTGCAAAATAGAAGGAAAATATGAAGTCGAAGATGGAGGCGAGAGTAGAAGCAAAGACCTGAGATTTGCAAGCTTACCTCGTATATTTTTCGATTTTGTTGTTTTCTTTTTTTTTTTCGTTTTCCACCATGTAATCTGTAATCATTGAGAATAATGAATTAGGGCTTTAGGGTTCTACAGGGATGAAAGTAGATTAGAATTTGATTGTTAGATTTTGTTGTTGATGAAGCCGAAGCCAAGAGAAGAGGGTGGAAGATGGAAGATTTTTTTCTTTTTGATTGAATCGATGGAAAAATTATGAAGCAGAGAGAGTAGAAAAGTGTGAGAGAAAATGAGGAATGTGAACGAGAAAGAGAGAGAACCGAGTTTTTTTTCTATTTTCCAAATGCACTGTTTAACTGATGATTTAATTGGTTTTGGAAATAATAAATTAAGGTCAATGAAATTAATGAGAGAAGCAAGGACCTGGGGTGGCTGAGAATTCTTAGGGTTTGTCACTTAAGTTTGGCCGAGTGGGCTTGTGATTGAGGGCCCAAAATCTATTTCATTTTCTTTTCTTTCTTGAATGATTAATGATTAATGCTTCCTTCTTCTTTTCTTTAATCGTTGAGTTGCTTCTGTTGAATTATGTATGTTGCATGTTTGTGAATTGACGGAGCGAATGAAACAAGCTTGTGAGTTGCTTGAAGGAAGACTTTGAAACAATTTTATTCTAGAGTTTTAGGGAGAGGTTATGGAGGATATTGAAGTGGTGAGTATTTATGCTAAGGTCTTGAGTTTTTTTGCTCTCCCTTTGTTTTACTATTTCTTCCCTGTTGTATTTATAGGTGAGAAATGTGGGATTGGGGGGGGGGGGGGGGGGTGGAATAACATTTGAATTAATTTGATGCCAAATTTTATTGCTTTTTGAATGCAGTTTCTATTTTACTAAGTTTGTGCAAATAATGGACTGATATGGCAGGTTTTGCATGGCAGCATTGTAGTTTTTTTTGGACTGTCTTGCAGGGAAAATTAATAGCTAATGCAGGGCTGGATTTTTGGACTGGGATGCAGGTTTGTACAGCAGTGAATAAGGATAGCAACATGGCTGTTTTTTGCAGCAGTTGTTTGGACAGTATTGGGCTGTTTGTGGACATCAACATGGTGGACAGGTTATGGTTAACATTACAGCGTGGGAGGTTTTGTGAGTTTGTGGTCAACAAGGGTTTGGCATTAATATGGATTCAAAATACTTGGTTTTATAGAATTATCCAAGTTATCTCGAGGATTACAAATATACCTTATAGTTTTAATCTTGTAGAATTTTCGTAACTTGAATAAAAAATAGCTTGTACTAATGTAGAACTTGGGAACTCTTGAGTTTTTTTTTTAATAAGAATTTCATGTAAAACCTTTGTGAAGTCTTGGAAATTGGAAACATCATGATATTTTTGAATGCCATTTGAATATTTTGTACAAGTTAAAATTCTACATGAACCTTCTCTTGAATGGTGTTTTGAATGAAACAATTAATTTGGATGAATGACAATAATTGACTCTCTTGATCAATCTTTGAATTAGGCCATGAGAATTGTTTGGAATTTTTTCATGATAATGAATCATGTTGAATAGGAACTTGAATGAAATTATTTGGAATACTTGATTCCATGGACTCATAATCAAATTGAATCAACAAATACCCATGTATACCATTTTTGAATCTTGACAAAATCATACACAAAACCCTAATTAGGAAGTAGTAGATAGATGAAACTTCACCTTGTAGCCTAACAAATCGCTAACTTTAATTCTCCAAATTCAAATTAACTTGTAATTGAAGTAAACAAGTATTTGATGAGTGTAGAGGTAGAAATATTCATGACTAAGCCATTGGATTGAATAGACTTTATACAAATCAAAATCCAAATCGCCACCGCGCTTTATTGTTTCCAAAGGAATGGTAAAAGAGCGAATAACCCAAAAAGAGGGGGGAAAGATTCAAGGTAAGGGGGTTGGTTATGCAAAGGGAAGGTATTAGCACCCTAAACATCCACAGTACTCTGCAGGAACCTCTTTATAAAAATATGTATATTTTTGCTATAAAAAATGTTGTATAAAAATGGATGGTGGAGGTGAGAAAAGAAATATATTTATTTTATAATTTTTGCACCCGCCGCAGTTGGGAACATTTAGTGCCTATGTACCACCTTTTCATGCAATAGGGGATCAGGGTACACATAGTTCCTCTTTTAGAAAATTTAAGACACAAATGTGTTGGTTAATTTTATGAGATAAACATCAACGTCATTGTCCGTGTGGAAAACATACTTATTACCCACAATTATGAGAAAGGAGAATTTGCATCATCTCAAAGTGGAGGATATGGCTTGGATTTTAAAATCAACAATGCCTCACTCAACACCCAAGTGGAAAATATTTCTCTTCACTACATATTGTAGAAGTATAGTTGTTTGCATCACTACAAGGATTGATAAGAGTTCAACCTTTTTGAGAAAAGTTTAAAGATAAAAGCCAAAGTGGCAAAATGATTTGAAATGAGATTGATTAACTTTTAGTCTTCTCACAAAAAAAATGTCAACGTATCATTAATTTGATTGGAGTCTATTTATGAAAAATGTTTTGAAAATGCATGGACATAAGTCCAAGTTTATTATGAAAGTGGTTCAAGTTCAAAAACAAGAAGAGTTTTGAAAAGGGGGAAGAAGATTTTTGAAATTAAAGAAGATGGGAGGAGAAGAAGGGACTATCCTAAAGCATAAGGTAAAAGCTAGGGATAAGAATCATCTAACTAACAAGATGCCAATACGTGACATTATGAGTCAAGATAGAATTCCCATTCCTTGGATTGGAAACAATCAAGCAAAAAAAGTTAGACCTCTTGAGAGAACCAAACTTCAAGTGTATTAAGTCTTCACAAAAATTGGGCAGAGTAACGGCTGTATACGGGTGAATTCCTGATTACAAACAAAGGGTGTAATCACAAAAACCTGCACACAAAAACAAACAAACAACCCAATGTTTTGAGGTAAACCTCAATAACTCAAGATAGAATAATCAGATAAGATCACAAGGTCTCCAAGATGGGCCAAGGTTTCTAATCCTAAGTCCAAGAAAAGTCCCATGCTCCATAATGCCAAGGATAGTAAACAAATAGTCCAAGTTCCATTAAATATTTTTTAGGGTTTATGTTGATTATTAAGTATCTTAAGAAAGGAAAAGAAAAGCTTAAGTGAGCAAAGTAAAAATGGCAAGAAAGTAAATGCTCAAGTGAGCAAAGATGAAAATGACATAAAATGTAAATGCTAAAAGTAAATGGTACATAAATCATAAAAAATAATAGAAGCATAAGGTAAGACAAGTCAATAATTAGTGGTTAGTTGGATGACCATCTTGAAGCTTGCATTTGGAACTCATTAGAGGATTGGTAGAATCAAATCCTCCACACAACAAGTTGCATTTACTTTTTGTCAAGTATATCATCCATTTGGAATTCTTATAAGTGCTATTTAATGATCAACGATGTTTAAGTGATTCGCTTTGACTAAAGGTGTTGTAGATCCATTAGAGGATTGGTAGAACCAAAGCCTCCACACAATGAATCTTAAGGTTATTAGATCAAAGATATCAAATTAACATACTTGGGCTTGCAATCATAAGTTTGGGCCACAAATGATCATTTATTCGAAATGGGACAAAATTTAGCGCTACGTTAAGCAATCGTAAGTGGACTTATATAGAAGTCGCACCTATTTTGAGGCGGGTCAATAGCAATCTATGCACCATTTGTTTTGAGACATGATATAGAGATCATTCTCCAACAACATTAAGTGCAATAAGAAATGGATGAGATGAAAAGGGATGGGGAGAAAATATACAAACCATATTTGAATTAAATTTTAATCAAACTATTATTAAAATCATTCATCCATTTTTGTGGAGTTAAACTCAACACCATGGATTCAATGATGTTAATAAAGTTTATGATCTAAAATTTAACCCAAGATCAACAAGAAAATAGTCACAAAATAATATCACATTTTAATATACACAAAAGGGTTTAAAAATAATGTTCAAAAATAGAAAATAAAGATAAAAATATCAACTATGTTCAAATTAATCAAGAAATAAAAATTGAGACCATAGAAAAATCAGAAAAAGGCTCAAGTAATTTTACAATTTTTTTGGTAATTTTTTTTAAGTTAGAAACTATTTTTAAAATTAAAATAAATGGGCAAAATAAACAAAAAATGATAAAAAATAGTAAAGTCAGAAACAAAAATAAAATAAGGCCACCAATATTTGTTACAATATCATTGGATCATTCCATGATTTTTTCAGAATTTAAAAATGTATAAAAGTATTTTTAAACATTTAAAACAAATAAAAAAAATGTAAATTTATTAAAACTACCAAAACACAAAATTAAATTGTGAAAAATAAAAATCAGGAAGAGAATAATCAAAAATATTTTTCATAATTTTTTCCAGATTTTTTGGACTTAAAATGAATTTTTTATGATTTTTTGAAATTTAAAACAATTAAAATATTAAAATCAGAAAAGAAAATAATAGTAAAAAATATGTGGACCGTTGGATGAGAGTCGAAACGCGTTAGTAATCAAATCTAAGGGATCTGGCGCGCTGTGCATATCATGGTCATTAGAGAATAATGTACAAAATCATAAATTAAATCAGAATTAAAAAAAACAGATGGCGCGCCTTCATTGGTTGGAAGATGACACGTTGGTCATCTTCAACCTCCAGTCATCATGAATTGCAGGTCTCTCAAACTGTAAAATCAGAAGCTCAGACCTATGCCATTTGTTTCGTCTCTTCATGACGAAGACAACCACACCCTCGCGCCAAATTTATATAAACTGTAGCTTAAGCAATTTGGAAGGAAAGTTTTGAAAAGGGATTTGAAATTTCATGGTTAAAACGTGTTTCCAGTAAAAGGTAAGTGTTGCGACTAGAACCAGGGCAATGAAGGCAACACAATGATATCAGAGTTTTGAAGAATTGATGAAGGAATCTACCTATTGAAGTTGAGTTACAGAGATCTGAAACTGGACTTCTATGGAGCAGTATAGGGCACGATTCTCAAATGTAATTATGTGGTTAGCTTCAGGGA